TCTGGAAATACTACAAAAATCTTTAGTTATCCGTAAAAATCGCTGGATATCTTTGAAAATGTGCCTAAATACCTAGTTGTATATAAAAATTTTTGGAAATTTCCTAGAAATACTAAGAAATGCATATGCGTGTCTGGGAAGAATTAAAAATCCTCGGTATTCGTAATAATCCCTGGATAACTTTGAAAATATGTCTAAATTCCTTAAAATTTTTAGAAACATCTAGTAGCATATAAAAATGTTTGGAAATCGTTTCAAAATCCCTAGATATGTTTGGAAATTATTATAAAATCTTCTATAAACTTGAAATTCTGTAGAAATCTCTGCAAAATCCTAGATAATCTTAGGTATTCTGAGAAATTTTTATGGTATACTTGAAAATCCGTTGAAATCTTTTGAAAATCTCCTGGAAATACCAAGAAATGCTTAGATAGCTGCCTGGGAAGAATTAAAAAGCCTTGATATTCGTAATAATCCATAGATATCTTTTAGATATCTTTTTTAGATATCTTTTAGATATCTTTTTTTAGATATCTTTTAGATATCTTTTTTAGATATCTTTTAGATATCTTTTTTAGATATCTTTTAGATATCTTTTTTAGATATCTTTTAGATATCTCTATATTTAGTTTAGACTTAGCATCGTTCTCTCTGAGCATCTGTCAATTTTTTTCCTTTATTTATGCCATCTTCCATAATATGTCACCTTTTTGGGATAATTTGGTCTTCTTTTATAAATAATACGGCTTTTATTTAGCGTCTTTTTTTTAGAATATTTACTTCTTCATTCTGTTTTTGCTATGGGATAGTGTTGATATAATTCTGCCGTGTTTCTTTCTTTTCTATTTAGTTTCTCATGACTTACATGATCCACATTAGATGAGGCAATAAATATGTAAACCACACCTCCTAACCCAAATCTACGGCAATTCCAAATCATCCATACTCATTCCACACAAACCTGACCCAACCCAACCCATCCCCAAGCAAGTGAGGCAGTAAATATGTAAACCACACCTCCCTAAGCCAATTAAAATATATTCCTCATCAATTTCACACAAACGTGACCCAAACCCAATCTAACCCAACCCTAAGCCAATTCCAGATTCATTTCACACAAACCTAACGGAACCCATCTAATCCACAACCAATCCCAACCCATCCATAGACAAGCGAGAACATGTAAACAGTTAATTTTATTCAAATCTGGCAAAGCGATTACTTAAATATGATTAACACAGTCATATTTTGTAAGATAGATTTTTTCATCTTGTCATATTGATATTGATTTATTTCTATTGGAATATTATAATATTACTTTTATGTTACTAATAGTGTATTGTCTTGTTATTTTGGGAAACTATTTTTCGAAAAATAATGTTATTATTATTATATTATAAAAAGAAGAAAAAGAAAAGAATTTTAGGTAAGAATCAAAGAAAACTAATTAAGGTAATGATAAAACAGTCGATAAATTATTGTTTGTGCGCGACTGTTAAGGTGATGTATAGGCCCATTTGTTATTGCGATAATTCTTGAGAACTGTGACCGTAAATGGAGAGTGGTTCACCGAGGATAGCGCAAAAAAAGGAGGATGATAAACCACAAAAAAGAAAATCAAGATGCATCAAGGTCTACAACTTCGGAAACGGCACAAAAAAATTTAAAAAATAAATAAATTCGATGATACATTAATCTTGGTGGAAACAATCTTTACCTGAAGTATTTTCTAGCTTTTTCCCTTGAATTATAAAGAATGCATAAAAAATTGTTATCAGAACGAATACTTTATACGCTGCATATTTTAGTTAAAGTTACAAATATCTTGGAAATTCAACCTTTATTTATTTTTATGATATTATTTATCGCACTTTACGTCAACAACATATAACTAACGGTAATAAATGATTGAAAATAAGTAATTTTTATAAAAAAGGAAATTAAAATAAGAAAAGAAGAAGGTGTTTTTATAAATTCCAGAACGAAACGTTTGCGTGTTAGAAACGCATGTTTAAAAGGATGGAGTACCGGGGCAAAACATTTTCCGCCTGGATCGTAGGTAATTTATGCGCGAGATGGCCACAGTTGGCATTCAAGGTGACGACCAGAGCGTACCATTAGATACGTAGATGACACGGAAGGTCAGAACGAAACGCCAAAGCTGCAAATGCCAACCATAGGAACAATCGCAAGAAAAAAAAATAAATTAAACACAATGTAATACACAAACGAAACTTGTTATTCGTAACTCACTTTCTCACTCAACATAATTCTACATTTATTCTTTTTATTTTACTTGGATGATTATATATTCTCGTACAAATCATATTCGTTAGGTTCAATTTTGATGAGTTATGATTATTTTTGTTTTTAGAGAGGGGAAAAGCAGATTGCAGGCGTATTCATGACCTTGTCTTTTTCGTTCTTGAGATTCCCACGCGTCTTGAATTAAAACGTTTCTAATTATTGTCAATTACTGCTTAACAATAATTACGATGTAATGTAACCAACTTTTATTTTTTATAATTTTCCAGAATGTAACAAAAATCTGGGCACGTCTAATTTACTCCTAAATGGTTCGCCAACATTTATGATATGCCCATTACACAGATCTGCAAGGTTTTGTTGTCGGTCAGCTGAAAGTCATTTCCGAAGTTGAATTCGTTTTAATTGTTGAAAATGTCATGATTTGGGATGACCGAGATGCTTGGATTTGCTTCAAAGAAGTTGTCAATGGTTTTTTTAGGCAATAATAAAGCTGCTAATTATAACTTGCTAGTAGACTGTATTAGGGAAAATGGTCCATATCTATGCAAGCCGACTATTGCTGGTCACTTCAACGTGATGAGCAGCATGCTCAATACAAGAGGCGATCTGGTACAAGATCTATGAAACACAAGCAAAAGAGTTAAATGCAATACAAAACTCTACATCTGACAGTATTGCTCCAACTCATTACGTCATTTTAAAATGGTCATAACTTATAATGGAAAAATCGTACAGGACCATTCGAGAGTGCATTTTGAAGGGTAAGGATAGTACTATATGATGAGATAGATAGAATCGTACGTCTCGCAGATAACTTCAACAGTAGCCAAAAAAGTCATTTTTCTTGTACATAACCTCTGAGCTCGGATTCTGATTCCACGCAGAAAATTTCTTCGGAAATGATCGTCAGCCATCCAACAACAATCAACACTTTTTTTTTGTAAATCTGATGTGTTATTATATTTCTTATGGTTTTTGTAATTATTCCAGGTATATCTACTTTACATCTTGTAGAAGCAATTTGTCAACATTGCTATAGTAATACAATATTTTACATGTTTTGACTATAAAATGAGTTACCAAATATATTCGACAATATCCAAAATTGTCGGCAGACAAGAAAATCGAAAACATCCTGCTGCACGTAAATAGAAAGAGAAATTTTACGCCCATGGAATACATAAAGAGATGTCTGTTATTTGATAATAATTTTGAATGTTCCACGTTGCTTTTCGTTGGTGGAGGCGTCGAGACGGCGTCGCAAAAAAAACAGCTCGTCGCCGGTCGGTAACGGCGCGCTCACCAAAAGTCGGTCAACCAGACTAGACTGAACGCAATCGATAGAAAGGGCACACCACGTCTGGTCCCAAACTTTGTGGAAAATACAATAATTCATTTTGGCACCTCTTCTTCTCTCTCTATCGGTTTTATTATTTTTTGCCGAAATTAATACCTTAACGAGAATTTAACTATACTGGTTGTGAGAAGTAAATAAATTTTTGCTGAATTTAGCCATTTTTTTGGTAACATTTGGGTATAATATAATTCTTATATTAAAACAAGAAGGATATAAAAATTCCATTTGGAAGAGATTTAATATGAATAATATGATCCTGTGTACCGATTCGGATGATCCTGGTTTTTGTTATTCACGAATCTATTTTTGCGCAATTGACTATGGCAAAGAGATAAGAATTCTAATATGGTTATCCAGTTACTTTAAGTTCCTAATACAATGAAATCTCGATATAATGGACCTCGTCAGAGCGAACTTCGGATATAACGAAAAAAAATGTTTGCACCCGAATGTTAATTCGAGTTTTAGTTGTTATTATTAGTTGTTATTCCATGCTAGATTGTTGTATGTTTTTGTTGAACTAAAACTAGAACTAACACTAGACCTATAACTAGAAAGATTTGGGTTTAGCCGCACGTCTCTAAAGACGGCTAAACCCAAATGATTTTAGTTCTAGTCCAATGTTAGTTCTAGTTGTTCCTCAAATATCTGAGTTTATTATACAAATGGGTTAAGTTAAATAGATTTAATACATAAAAGTAAATAATAAAATTCACAATTTGACTTTTAAACGTCAATTTGACAATTAAACGTCAATATCGTTAAAAACCTAAATCTCAAAAATCAGTTAATTTAATGTAAAGAATGTTATTGAAATACTAAAAGTAGCGACATATATATTAATCAAAACAGTTATTAAAAAAATCGACCAAAAATATTCGACATTTATCAAAAGATTTCAAAAAATTTAGGTTGGTACCATTTGGGGGAAATGTGTTGTAAATTTAAACGTCAAAATGACGTTTAACGTTACGATGACATTTGTGTGGCAAAATCATTTATAAATGAGTGTAAATAAATATCTCTTCCCCATATTACTCCGTTATATTGAGATTTTATTGTATTGAAAATTACAAATTTTAATTTTTGATATCGTAATTGTTTTAAAAACAATTTTTTTTAATTAAATTAATCATCAAAAACCAATTCTTTTCGCCCAAACGTAGACATAACAAATTATTTTTTGTTTAACATCAATTAATTGCCAATTGAAAGTGAACAACAGGTGATGAATCGGTCTCAGTTTAGACGAGTAGTTTGTTGCATTCGCGGTCGAGAAACATCGTCGTCTACCAGGAGCAGTAGGAGAGCTCTATAACAACAACAACAATATCGAGCTCAGATTCTGTTGGTTGTTCGCGGTCGTTGAGTGCTGTGTATTCGTTCAGTCGCGTTTCGGCGTCAGCGTGGAACGGGACGGCAGTAGACGACGCCAGTCGTCGTCGTCGACGTCGTTTTCGCGTACTGCTCCGTGTTAAGATTTCCGTTTTCTCCCCGATAGAGATAAAATTAACGTTGCGAAACTGTGACTAAATTAAATATTTAGAGAATCGGTTATTGTTATTAATTGTGTGGTGAAAAAAGAATTGTTAAAATATTTGTTTAAAAGATGATGAAAAAAGAAAAACCCATGATGTCGGTTACTGCCATCATTCAAGGGGCGCAACATTGGGGGAGAACATTACCCGGACTTGCACAACAAAACCCATTTGGTAATTAAAGAAAACAAATTTAAATAACTTAAGAATACATTTGTCATTTTTAATATTGGACGTCCGCCTCCAGACAGACGTTTGTCGTAGGTCAAGCGACGTCGATTTGTGTTTATTTTTTGTGTAAACGCGATAAGGATTGTTGTTTTTTTTAAACGACAAAGTGTGTTTTACTCCCAGCTATCTGCCAGCTTTTTTTTTTTTTTTTTAATTCGAGGAATTTTTATATTTTCGCGTTGATTCGATCGAATCGGTTGCAACACATCCATTAGGAACAACATTAAAATTGTGTCGTGCGATGTCACAATGTTTTGGGAGATTCGTTGGCACTCCGATCTATTATTATGTCTCAACAAAATCATCTGCAAAACACCTGTTTTTAAAAATAACAATTTCGATTACTAATACCATTTTTTTTTATTGGAAATCATTTAGAAATATTCTGTTACTATATCATGTTGAAATGTTGTCCAAACCAGAAGAGAGTGTTTCTGCTTCTCAATGTTTCAAGGAGGTGGTTAAAACTTCCTACAAAAATCTTTTGTATTTCTACGAGTATAAAGGTGAATATGTTTAAATTGCTGTTTCAGATAGTGCAAGGAAAATAGAAGCTATTCCAGTGTTGATGATTCTTCCGTATCAGTTTTTCAACGCAAAATGATGATTCAAAAGGTTTATAAGTAGTACAATATTTATTTTTATTAGGGGTCTTCACAAAATTTCACTTGCCAGACTAGACAAATATATTTTCAATATGATGGTACATACACAGCGCTTGTTTGAACCTTTTATCCGACTTCCCGATATCAGACTCCAGTTCCGGGGATTCACTAGTATCTCTAAACTCCTGGATATTATCTTAAAGTCTGCCAACTTGTTGGTAGCAAGAGCTATTACAACAGGAAACTGCTACACTTCAATAAATCTAATAAGCATGAGCTATTATAGCTTGAAACTGATATTCTTTATTATAAATCTGCCAACTTGTTGGCAGCATGAGTTATAATAACTTTAAACTGATATACTTCATTATAAGTCTGCCAACTTGTTGGCAGCATGAGCTATTATAACTTGAAACTGATATTCTTCATTATAAGTCCACTAATTTGTTGGAAGCATGAGTTGCCTTGGGATTCCTCAATATTTTATTGTCGCCACGCTGACTTGCATCTAACAACCTAAGTAGAAAATCCAATATAAGGTCCTGCATAAAGGTGTTGTGGTCTTAGCTGTGCATCTATTGTGTTTACAGATACTGCAATAAAGAAAGTCACATGGTACTTAAAGTACTCCTCGTGTAGACCACTCTAAACTGTTTCTAGATTTTGTACCACACGAGTAGCGCCATCTATTGTTGAGATAAAATTTTTAGAATCATACTCCAAAACTTTAATACTTTTATTTAATCTGTTATGATTTAACGGTTTAAAACCGTGTATTTATAAATAACCTAACTTGTTGCATATATTTATAAATAAAACGTATAGGAGCGCATTTATTCTTAGTGATAAACCTGGTTGTTTGTACACCTGACAGTTTCTAGAGCCAAAATGCCACGAGAAAGTGAAATACTTGACTTAGTTTTTTGTGTTGTTCAATCTCTAAACGTTTTTATACAAAAAAAAAATCATTTGTATACCAATTAACGTATGTCGAAATTTCACCTTTACACCGGGTTTTGTAAATGGCAAGGTCGAAGCCGGGCCTTATAGAATGAATTAACGCGGTCAGTAATTGCTCCTTCTTCTTCTTCTGCTTGACGTTGCCGCCATATAGCATCGTCTATGCAAATAGAAAAGAGTCGTGTCTTAGTTAAATGCCGTTTAAAACGAGTTATAAATTTTAAACGATGCTGCTTGCTTTCTCGGTATTTTAACTTTATTTAATTTATTCTCTTTTTTTGTAAGTGTTGTGTGTCGTATGTGTTTATCTCCCCGCGTGCAAAAATAAATATGCGATAGCAAATGCAAACAATACTCTGATGGATCCAGACGAGTTTTAAAAATGCAATACTCCGAATTTTTTTTGTTGTGTGTGGAAGTAATGACGTGGAAAAGCGCGCAAAAAGCTTAAAAGTGCATTGATTTTGATGAAACGCGATACGCGCGTGGTGAACGCAAATCATTTACTTAAAGCGAACGGCTGAAAGGTTATGTGGAGAATTCGTTCTTGGACACGTGCCATACGGTCCATATATTTTAAGCTTCCATAATCCTCACGGGTTTTGACATAACTGGATTTGTATGGGGGATTATATTTCATGTTGGATTGAATTGGTTAATCTTTAAAAAATAATTTCGCATTTTGCAGATTTGTTTGGGATAATATTGATTTATGGCGAAAAGCTTTGTTGTTTGAGATGTTAAATCACTTTTTGATGTTTTTAACGTCAAAATAACTTCTAATTTTGATTGTTGTGTTGTAAAATAAATAAATTTAAATGGTTTATGGAATTTTCAATTCGAATAAATATATTTTGGTGTCTAAATAATTTTGAAACAAATTGTATATAATTAAAATATGATAATTTTAAGATTAAGAAACAGGAAATTTTATTTCTTTTTGCTGTAATGAAAAAATTGTCAATTGATACTTCGCCAGTTGCAATTTGCAATCTCTCTCATTTTCAACAAGTTATTTATAACATAACATAACCTGTTTAGATAGCGAAAATGACGCACTAGTTAAATTAATAGAAGAGTTTTCCTAATATATGTGCATTTGATAATATATAGACGAGGCAATTTCATATATATATTTCGCTTAATATTAATATATGTAAAGTTGTTAGTGATAACACTTCCGTTGATTTGTTTGAATAAATAATCTTTCAAAACACTTAATTTACGTTAAAGAATTATGATAGCATTCAAATGAAGATACACTGGCCAATTCTTCAATGAGATGAATTCTCAAGATTTTTGGCAATACAAACGTTTATAAATTGTTTATCTGGAATGTGGTCCAAACCAGAAGAGTGTATCGCCTTCTCAATATTTCAAGGAGGTAGTTAAAACTTCCTAAAAAAATCTTTCGTATTTCTACGAGTCTAAAGGTGAATATGCTTAAATTGCTCTTTAAGACAGTTCAAGTTAAATAGAAGCTATTCCAGTGTTGACAATTCTTCCGTGCCAGTTTTTCAAAACTTGATGATTCAAAAGGTTTATAAGTAGTAGAATATTTTTTTTATCAATGATCTTTTTCATATCATTTTCAATATGATGGTACATACACAGTGCTTATTCACACTCCAATTTCGGGGATTTACCACATTATCTTGAAGTCTGCCAATTTGTTGACAGCAAGAGCTATTAGAACAGGATTTTCTTTATTATAAGTCTGCCAACTTGTTGGCAGTATGAGGTATTATAACTTAAAACTGATATTCTTCATTGTAAGTCTGCCAACTTGTTGGTACCATGAGCTATTAGAACATGAAACTGATATTCTTCATTATAAGTCTGTCAATTTGTTGGCAGTACGAGCTATTACATTTCCAAACTCCTCGACGTCATCTGGAATTCTGCCAATTTGTTGGCAGCAAGAGCTATTGATCAGAGAGATTGATCAGCTCTTGCTATGGATTCTGGAAATACAAATTAAGTTTTAATTTTATAATTCAAACATAGTAGCCCAAAAGCAGCTGATTTAGACACAATTCGTTCTAACTTTTTAGCCTTGCCAACATTTTCAAACCGTTTAAAATATTACTATTTTCATTTCATCTTCTTTTCCAAGTTTATTTCATCTTGTTCCATATATTGTATTGCATTCTCGGCCAACATTACCATTGTTGTATTGTTGTACCCATTAGCATTCAAAATTACCATTCTTATCCTTTATTTATAACCATATATTAAATAAATCTTGACTTCACATCTTTTTTATTTTGTGTTTTTATCCATTCCGTGTTTGTTTAGTTACTTTTAGCATCAATTTGAGAGTATGTAAGTTTCAGATTTATGTATAAACATATAAACTCTTTGCTAATAAATCATTTCCAATTTTTTGTTGATCTTTTTGGCCGAATGTAAAAACAATACCTGCATTGGAGACGACTGGCCGAGTTTGAAATAATAAAGTATTATTAACACTTTTGCGTGTTCCTCCGTGACCTGTAGACGACTTCTATCCAAGGCCACGGTCTCCTCCCGCCACCGCCCTACGCCCCTTTCGTTTCCCCCCTAACGGCCTAAAATAGCCTACGACTCGGTTTCGCTCTTTCAACGGCAGTACATCATCAAAACACAACCAAGCGACGGAGGCCTCGCGCGTACGACAATTTGCTGTCACGATGACAGATGACGTTGTTTCGTTATTCTTCTATTTTTTTGTCAGGGGCAATTGTTTTTTTTTCTGTTCGATTACGTCAGCAACCTATGTCAAAGTCGTTTCAATTCATTTATTTTTTTTTATTCGGATAAGAATCAGATTTAAGTAATAAATACATAAAAAAAATTGTTTAGGTATAATTATAAAAGTACTAAAAGATAAAATATTAACAATGAAAGACAGAGAGATGTAGGTTTGGTATGAACGGACGTGCAACGTCGGATAGTGAGTCTATTTTTAGAAAAACCGAGTCAGTCGGTGAGTCGTCTATGGTCGCGATCTGGCACTTGCACGGCTTTTGCCTTGATCGTGGCATTCAATTTCAGTTCGCAACATCATTCGGACATGTAAGCCATGTTATTCGAGGATGACAGTTACACAGTACACAACAGCGGAAGAAATCGATCCATTTCCTTTTCAAGAAATATACATACATCTTTATTCAAAAATAAATCCTATTTTTATAGTTGAAATGAAATGATTTAAAAAAGTATTTTCAAAAAGAAACATAAAAAAGTTTATTATCCATAATTTTTTTATAGACATGTTTTTGTGAATCCTTCTTTCCAATTTTTTGTTATTTTCCTTCGAAAACAAACCCTTTGATAAACCGATAACTGTGAATCAATCGAAGTAGATTAGATTTCGGAAATCCAATAAGATTAAGATGTTTTCATAAGATTTTGATGACTAATTTTCTTGTTTTTTTGGTATATTTTAGGGCTAAGTTTGGAACAAATCGGTTCGATGGGACCTCAATCCCCGTTAGAATTAAAACCGGATACCGGAACATTGATAACTTCCGGCCAGTACAGTCCTCAAGGACCGAACAGTCCCGGATCGTACAGCATGGGCCACGGGAGTATCTTGAGCCCTTCACCTGGTGCCCAAGGAAAAAGCGTCGGATCCCCTTATCCCCCCAATCATCCGTTAAGCGGATCAAAACACCTATGTTCTATTTGTGGAGATAGAGCAAGTGGAAAACATTATGGAGTATACAGGTAAAAAAAAATTATTGATTAATTGACATTTTTTTATAACTAGCAGCGATTAGATTTCTTAAAAACATTCGAATCAAACTGATACAAAGTTTGCAGCTATGTTTCAGAGAGTCACATTAATATCTCATCTTGAGTACTAAGTACTTGCAAAATGCTCTGCAATAATTGCTATATTCAGAACGTTCCATGTAGGAGTGATGTATAATCATGTACAGGATGGTTCAAATTCGATGTCCGAATAGGTTATCTCGGAAACTATAAGAGTTAGAAAAAAAGTAGCTTACAAACCTCAAAGCGCCATCGTTCTTTGTCCCCTAGAGGCTAAAATTGAAAATATTGTAAAACCAGCAAGATAGTTATGGCACGTGGCTAGGAATCTTGTTCATGATTTCACATGGATATTTTTTAAGTCACCATTTCATCTGGTTTGAATTTAGAGCGTGTCATGGCAAAAAAATCGGTTTTTAATTTCCTTATATTGATCAACAATTTATTAAAATATCTGCTTGGGTGGTATCTAAGTAGGCAAATTGCAGCATCTAGCTTCTTTCCCCAGTGCCAAAGTGAAAACAAAAATCTCCAGCTATAATTAAGTCTCAATTGTATTAAGTCTCGATTAATTGGCTTAAATGAGACGAAATCATGCTGAATCAGATGTGTCGTAATAGCGACACTTTGAAAATTGACTTTGACACTTTGTTTTTATTAGGATGGTATTAAAGGGCTTCATTAAACAGCTCCATATTGAGGTTGGAGATTGCAAAGATACTGTGGTTGTTTCCTTACATCACTGCTCAATAAAAATGTACAATAATCAATAGCGCTGAATAACAAATAAAACTAAACTAACAATAGATCTAGAACTAGAAACATTCCGTTTAGTAGCACCTCTTTTAAGACGGCTGGTAGTTGCATATTTTTATTAAACTTAAAACTAACACTACACCTAGAACTACAAAGAAGACTTGTTTTATAAGTTCTAATGTTAGGTTTAGTTGTGTTCAGCGTTAGATTGTTCTATATTTTTATTAAACTGAAACTAAACTCTGATTGTTTAAATGATTTTGACATACAAATGTCATAGTAGCGTTAAACGTCAAAATGACGTTTAAATCTATAACACATTTTCTTAAAATGGTACCAACCTAAATTTTTGGAAATCTTTTGATGAATGTCGAATATTTCAACTTTTGTAATAGTTCAATAAAAAGTTGAATAAAAAAAGTTTAATTCAATAAAAATATACAACAAACTAACGCTGAAACATCTAAAACTAGAACTAACACTATATTTAGAACTAGAATCATTCGGGTTTAGCCGTCTTGAGAGACGTGCGGCTAAACCCGAATATATCTAGTTCTGTCTAGTGTTAGTTCTAGTTTTAATTGTTATTCAGAGTTAGATTGTGTAATATTTTTATTGAACAAAAAGTAGAACTAACACTAGACCTAGAATCAGAAACATTCTGGTTTCGCCATGCGTTTCTTAAGACGGAACTTTTCCTTTGCAAAGCTATCAAATGCCTGTACTATTATTAAGCTATGTTGCATTTTATGAGGGACACTGCAAGTGCATAGTGATTCGTAGCTATGGATACTGCATTCATATATTGCGAGTTATATGAAAGTCCCAGTATATGGAGAGAAATTGTCATTTTTGAAGATTTTTTCAGTTATACCAAAAGCTATTATAAAAAAGTTGTATTAGAACAAGACAAAGTTATGTTATGGTAAACTAATTTATCCAAAAATTTGTTAATAAATAAATAATGACAAGTAAATTTGTTGAAAAAATAGTAAAGATTGAAAGTAAAAGACTGCTTCTAGATTTAGTTAGTATATGGTTAGAATCTACAAGAACAGGATTCACGGTTTTTGCCCACGCTGAGTTCGCTCTGCTCACGCTGTTTACAATAATCCCAAGGCCTTCGGTTGCGAGCCAGTGATGCAACATCGTCGCGCAGGAGGCCATGGTCATGGCACACTATGACCGAACGTTGTTTTCTAATCAATAATAATAATACCCATTTCCCAGTTTAAATAAAATAAATCAATAAATTCTTCTTTATTAATTTTTAAAGTTAAAAATAGAGAAGCTTTTATGACTAATAATTTTTTTTGGTAACATTTAATTATAAAATACCCATTCACTTTTAAATAATAAAATCTCGCTTTTTAATCAACCCATTAAAAAAAAATCAACTTTTAATAATGACCTTCACAACACAATCTAAAAATTTCTTAAGACACTAACCACTAGTGAAGAAAGTAAAAAAAAAAACAATTCATTTTAACAACGCTATAGTAATAAAATTTTAAATTCTCACGATTTTAAATGAACTCGGTCACGTTTTGTCGGCTGTTTTGTTTAGAGGTGTATAAATACGGGGCCGCGTAATAATTCACAAAAAAAGCGGGTGATTTGCCATTGAATTCAAGGCTGTTATCGTCGCAATAATATCGAGAGAAAAACCGGGAGCGATGAATAAAAAAAAACGAGCAATAAAAGAAAACAATACGATTATATTCAAAATGATCGGATCGAGTATGAATAAGCGCTTCGTGCTCTGGTGCAATCGCAAATGCACGTAATTATGTAAATTTCGAACTAATAAAATGTCTCATTCATTCCAACAATTTGAACTTGGCCTTGCGTTTAGAATATAACCCGAACGCAAAATGATTTAATACTGACCTTGCTTGTGGTATTGTTGCTCATTTACAATGAGTTTTATCTGCAATAATTTAAATTGTTAATTTCGATTTTTAGCGCATCACTTCAATTTCATTGAGTTTCAAACTTTTTAAATAAACATTTCATCCTTGAACATCGTTTAACAACGCGACGTACGTTACACGTGATCGTTAAATATTAATTTTGAAAATTCCACTTGATTTGGTATTAAATTTATTTAGAATTAGATTTTTTATTTTTATTCCTCAAGTCTTCTCGTTGCACAGGTAACAGGTGCTAACTTTAATACTCTCAAGGTTACGCACTTAATATAAACTTTTGGAATGTCCCCAACGCTGTAATAAAACGTATTCAATGTACATACAAAATTACGAAACTGTATTTTTAAATTTATGTCTTCACTGGTAAAGAATTAGTTTTTTTTTCGAGTTCCTTTCTGAATACGTTATAAGTCGGTAGTAAAACTACATCGATTTTTTTAAGAAATATTAAATAAATGAGGAATTCAAAAAGAAAAAAATACAGTTGCACACAAAATTGAGTATACAGGGAAGATACAGCATTACTAAACCACCCCCATGTTTAACTGTTCCCACCAAATTCTTGTTTTTTGAGCTCACAATTTGGTTTCCTCCAAACTATTTGCATTTCGGAATATCAAAAAGTAATTTTAGTATCATCAGTGAACATTACGGCTAAATCCGAATGACTCTAGTTCTAGGTCTTGTGTTAGTTCTTGTAGTAGTGCTAATGCAATACTGGAACTAACACTAGACCGAGAACTAGAATCGTTCGGGTTTAGCCGCACGTCTCTCAAGACGGCTAAACCCGAATGATTCTAGTTCTAGGTATTGTGTTAGTTCTAGTGATAGTGCTAATGTAAAATTAGAACTGACACAAGACCTACAACTACATACAGTCAGTCCCAAAAGTCATCGTACACCAACGGTTTTTGCATAATATCCAAAATGAGGTCGTAAAAAAAGTATTTTTTTATTACCATACACATAATTATTTATTTTTAACAGATTTATAAATAGAAAACACTGCAATTTAACAAAATAACTTAATAGTTCTTCAAAATTCTTCCATTGGAATGTCACAAAAGTGATCGTACAGATCCAAAAGTTGTAATTAAAGACGCAGCCAAGCTGGTACTAGTACTTGGTTGGTCCTCCGTTCGCTTTAAGTACAGCTTTTAGTCTTCTCGGCATAGATTGAACAAGTTTTTCAGTGTATGATGCCGGAATTTTATCCCACTCTACTTGTAATGCAGCTTTTAGGGATTCCTTGCTACTAATGTTGTGCATTCTAATAGATTTTTCTAAGTAATCCCACACGTGCTCTATGGGGTTAATATCCGGTGATTGTGGAGGAGAATGTAGCTGCTTGGGCACATTATATAAAAGCCATTCGCGAACTACATGCGCTGTATGCTTTGGGTCTTGGTCTTGTTGGAAAATCCAATTACTTCCAAGACACAATTGTATAGCATTTTGCTTTAAATTAGCCTTTAAAATATTTAAATATTGCCACTTATTCATTATATTTTCAATAAAGACTGAACTACCGACTCCTGAAGCAGCCATGGATCCCCATACCATAACGGATCCACCGCCATGTTTCACTGTTGGTAGGAGATTTTTTAAATCTAGGGCTGTACCGGCCTTCCTCCAAATTTTACCCCTACCATCGCATCCAAAAATGTTATATTTTGATTCATCTGTAAAGATGACCCTTTTCCAAAAGTCCATATCTTTATCTTTATGCATTTTTGCAAATTCGATTCGTTTCTTTTTGTTAACATCGCTAATGTAAGGTTTCTTTCGTGGTACTCGTCCGTTATACCCGGCACCACGCAAAACCCTTCGCACAGTTTCTGCACTTACGGTTTTATTAAATTTGTTTTGGACGTTTGCCGCTATTTTTGGGGCACTTATCCGAGGATTTGCGTTGACTTCTTGCCTAATGCTTCGTTCTTCTCGGGGAGTCAACAATTTTGGACGGCCAGTGCGCGGAGCATTTTCAATATTTCCGGTATCCACAAACCTTTTAATTATATACTGAATTGTAGAAGCACTTTTATTAAGTGTTTTAGCGATTTCACGTATAGATCGACCTTCATTATGTAATTTTATAACAATTTTTCTCACTTCTACACTTGTTTCCGTTCTCTGGGGAGCCATGACACTTTTTTGACAAACGGAGAGCAACGATTACTAGATGTAGGGCAGGTTAGACTAGCTGCACGGGAAATCCCACGTAATTGACAAAGAGACGGGGAAACCCCTGTCGGTTTTCAGATGTACGATTACTTTTGTGAGATTGCAATGGAACGATTTTGAAGAATTATTAAGTAATTTTGTTATTTTGTTAAATTGCAGTGTTTTCTGTTTATAAATCTGTTAAAAATAAATAATTTTACGATCACGTTTTGGAAATCATGCGAAAACCATTTGTGTACGATGACTTTTGGGACTGACTGTACATTCAGATTTAGCCGCACGTCTTTCGTAATAAAAACATGCAACATAGTGATATCTTATGCTAACTAGCGCTACTTACCACTGTCACTAAAACTAACATTAGACTTAGAACTAGAAAGATTCAGATATGTTGGATTTTATGTGTGACAAAGTAAGTTGGTACCCCTGTTTTCTATGGAAATGTATTTTTGTATATTGCATTTTAATTGAAATTCACTGTATCATTTTTTATCATTTGTTATAATTGTTAATATTGTGATTATTTTATTTGGAAAAGTGGATTATTTTGCATTAAATTTAGTGAATAAGATTGTTGTTAATATATATACAAAATAAATTAATTCCCCTGTATACTCAATTTTGTGAGTAACTGTATATATTATTTGTTGCGTAAGTGAGAAAGAGAAGTCAGCGAACGTTTTTGCGCAAACTTTGGCATTGACTTTGACGTTTCCTGTATTCCACGCTCATTCTTCAACGAACCATGCACAATCCGGGTAATTGAAAACGCCGCGGTTTTAGGAAGGTCAGCTTTTTTAAGATAGTAACAGCAGAAAAAAGAATGTGTCAATTTAACAATTTGAAACAAACTTAAAAATAAAGAACTAAACGTTCTTTAAAAAAAATACGTGTTTCCATATCTATTTTAATTCCTTACAGTACCAATTTGTTCTTTTTTTGTTGCAGTTGTGAAGGATGTAAAGGATTTTTTAAAAGAACCGTTCGGAAAGATTTAACGTACGCATGCAGAGAAGAAAAACATTGTATTATAGATAAAAGACAAAGAAATAGGTATAAAAAATTAATAAATACAAAAAAAGTATGTTAATTTATTATATTATTTTGTTTTTAGATGTCAATTTTGTCGATATCAAAAATGTCTCGTAAAAGGAATGAAAAGGGAAGCAGTTCAAGAAGAAAGGCAAAGGACGAGAGAAAGGGACACCTCGGAGGTTGAATCTACATCAAACATGCAAACAGATATGCCGTTGGAACGGATATTAGAGGCGGAAAAACGAGCCGATGGAACAGACGAACATCAATTAGTAGAAGTATTTAAAATGTTTTATTGATCAAACAATTTTTTTTACTAATATTTTAATTTTATTTTTATTTTAGAGCCCCGTTTCGAATTTTTATCGCGCAACGAACAAACAATTGTTACAATTAGTAGAATGGGCAAAGCATATACCTCATTTTACTTCATTACCAATTCCGGATCAAGTGAAATTATTAAAAGCTGGTTGGAATGAATTGTTAATAGCGTCATTTTCACATCGATCAATAGAATCAAGGGAAGGAATTATTTTAAGTAATGGATTCACCATACACAGGTTAAAAAAGCATTACAGTAAAACCTTGATATAACGAATTTCCTTAGAACGGACTCAAGTCATACTATTAATATTATTTATTTAATACATCAGTGAATGAGATAGAATCCAACTTGAGTTATTCCCCAAAATGTTTTATTCCATCTTTATAACTCGAACTAGAAAGCGTTAGATTGTTGTATATTTTTATTAAATTAATACTAAATTCTGATTTTTTTAAATGATTTTGATATACAAATATCATTGTGACATTAAACGTCATTTTGACGTACAACACATTTTCCTAAAATGGTACCAACCTAAATTTTTGATGAATGTGGAATATTTCTTACCAGTTTTTTTAATAACTTTTTGATTTATAGTAATATATTTCGCTACTTCTAGTATTTCAATAAGATCTTTTACATTAAATTAACTGATTTTTGAGATCTAAATTTTTTAATGATGTTGACGTTTAATTGTCAAGTTGACGTTTAAAAGTCAAATAATATTTTTAGTTTTTGTACAGATTATTTTGCATTAATGGTATTAATTATTTCATTCTGATAAATGCTATCTATAGTTTTCCATTTTCCATCCAACTTTCTTATTGATATTTTATTTTTCTTGTTCTGTTTACAACCCATTTTGATTTTTTAAATGATTTTGACATACAATTGTCATTTTAACGTCACTTTGACGTTTAAAAATTAAAACTCATTCTCTAAAATAGTACCAACCTAAACCTTTGGAAATATTTTGATGAATGTCAAATTACCAGTTTTTTAACAACTTTTATTATATATCAGTATATTTCGCCACTTTTAATATTCCAATAAGATTTTTTCATCAAATTAACTGATTTTTGAGTTTTTTTTAATATCTACCTTCTTTAACAATGTTAACGTTTAATTGTCAAGTTGACGTTTAAAAGTCAAATAATATTTTTACTTTTTTTAAGATTATTTTGCAATAATGGTGTTAATTATTTCATTCTGATAAATGTTATAGTTTTCCATCCAACTTTCTTATTAATATTTTATTTTTCTTGTTCTATTTATAATCCTTTTTGATTTTTTTAATAATTTGATATACAAATGTCATCTTGACGTTTAAACGTCATTTTTATGTTTAAAAACCACAACGCAATGTTTCTAGTTCTAGGTCTAATGTTAGTTCTTTCAGACACTCCCTTCCCCATATTAATCCGTTATATCGAGATTAAACTGTATTTTCTTTAAACAATTATACTAATATATTTTTATTTCTTTTTATATAGAAATTCAGCGAAAGAATTTGGTGTTGCAAGTATATTCGATAGAGTTTTAACGGAATTAGTAGCAAAAATGCGTGAAATGAAAATGGATAAAACAGAATTAGGATGTCTTAGAACAATAATATTATATAATTCGGATGTTCGTGGATTAAAATCAGTTTCAGAAGTGGAAATGTTACGGGAAAAAGTGTACGGTGTTTTAGAAGAGTACACAAAGGCGACGCATCCAAATGAACCGGGACGATTTGCAAAGCTTCTTTTGCGTCTACCAGCTCTAAGATCGATCGCTTTGAAATGTTTAAATCATCTTTTTGTCTTCCAATTGCTCGGCGAACACACCATTGAGGAATATCTCACGAAAATGCTTGATAGTAGCACAGAAATGCGTGAAGATTTTTAATCGCTTTATTATTATTTTTTTATTTGTAAACACTTAAAAGTTTTTAATATTTTTAATAACGTTCTTCCTGAAATCGTTTTAATTTTATTATTTTTTTTTCAATGATCGTCTGTGATTTCTCGTTTTATTTAAATTACGTTTGGGTATTATTTGCAATCTTTCTCATTCTATTAACTAAAATAAAATAAAATAAAAAGAATAGTGTATGGCGTATAATTCGAAAAAGAAAATAATTTAAGTATTTGTATATAATATAATAGAAAGTTTCGGATTTTTTATTCTTGATTTTTTTGTGGTGATTGTAAGTGCCTGGGCTTCGTTTTTGCGACTTTCTTAATCAAATTATGTTGGAAAAAAGCTCAACTTGAATGTTTTGAAAATGTAATAAGTTAATTACTAAAGACTCACTTATAAAAAAATATTTATTTACGAGGGCAGCTTGTTTCTTTGAAATTCTCATTGTAAATATTAGTTGTATAGCGGTTTTTTAAGTACATTCCAATGGTATGAATGGGATATACTCAAAAAGATAATAAAAATGCTCTGTCTGTTTCAAACACAACATAAAAAAAGATACAAAAACAATGTATATATTTATTTGCTTCTATTCGAGATATTTTTCTTGTTGTGGAATAGACTAAGCATATTTTTGGCCTATAATATTAAAATTGTCGGAATTTGAAAATAAAACAAATTAGATAGGCACCGTTTTTCGCTGCTAATTGTGTCTAATATAAAAAAATATATGTTTATCGGGAAATATCGATATATTACTTTTTGTGTGACGGAATATACTGTTCAAGTTTTTAAGATTTTAATTGTTGTAAGTATCTGAGAGAGAGACAATTTCATAGTTTATAGACTATTATTATTATTACGATTTATTAATTATCATTATTTCTTAGTATAAAGAAATTTAAAGTTGTCATATTTTTAATGAAATCAATAAAATGACCTCTTTCTATTCGATTTTCAGTCTTTGTATGTATTTAATCATCACCTATCAAACTTTGTAAATTTAGAAACATGAAAAAGGAGTATGTTTTAGTTTTAGTGGTTCCTTATGTATCATATGCAAATGGGTTAAGTTATTATGATTTAATAAAAAAAATTAAATAATAAAGTTCTTATAACAAATTTTGAATTTAATAACTTTAGACTTGCAATTATTTGACGTTTAAACGTCAATTTGACAAATAAACGTCAATATCGTTAAAAATCTAGATCTCAAAAAACTTCAGTTAATTACATGTAAAAATCTTATGGAAATACTAAAATTAGTGAAAAATATTATTATAATAAATCAAAAAAGTTATAAAAAACTGGTATGAAATATTCGATATCAAAAGTTTTTCAAAAATATAGGTTGGTACCATTTTAGGGTAGCGTTGTGGTTTTAAAAAATGTCAAAGTGACGTTTAACGTTACGATGACATTTGAATGTCAAAATTAATTCAGCGCTAAATTGTTATAGATCTATAGAATTAGAAACATTTGGGTACAGCCTTGCAATTACATACATTAGCAACATTACATGACAGTTTCAGGGAAATTAATAAAAATCAAACAACAAAGAAATCTTGGTATTAATTTTTTTTTAATTATTTTTAAATGGAATTAAAATCTATTGTAACATTCTTCATCTTTACGTTTTCTTTGTACGCAAATATTATAATAAGATAATTAATTATTGCGTGAGGATTTTTCTTTCCTGTACAAATGAATATAATAATAATAATAATGACTGACTGGTAACTAGAGCAGTCAAAAATAAAACGGCCTATCTTGGGCAAAAAATAAAATAAAAATAAACAGGAAAATATACAAAGCTAAAAATTTTACGTACTACATTACAAGTTGAAAAGAAAAATGTTGTAAAAGATTCGACGTTTGGTGTAGAAACGATGATTTTATTTATTTGTTTATTAAATGATAAAAAGAACAATAAGTAAATAGAGAACTTGATTCGATAAAATCATCGCGGAACACTCGTTTCGAATCTTACACATTGAAAAATTATCACATGGATTATTGCTTATTAACAATATAAATCTTAAACAACATCTAAGCACATTTAAATATTTAACACACATATATTTATATATATTTTATAATAATATTATCGAATATTATTCTTTATGTTAGCTGTAAAACATTTATAATATAATAAGTGCCGTTTGTTTACATACGTATATAACTTTATCTATAACCTTTTCTTGCTTTTTTAATAATAATAAAATAATAGTAGGTACATTGAAAACAATTGAATAAATAATATTACATTCTGGAACATAGTGGCGAAGAAGCAATAATTTACAAAAGAAAATAGATTAGAGAAAATATATATGAAAAAAACTTCCCAGTTTCGGAAGTTTTACAACAAGCGATAGTACAAAGGAATTTTTTTCTTGTATCACAATAAAATTAACTTAAAATAAACAACGATAAACGTAACAAGTATTAAAAAAAAAAATGATGAGAAGCGCAAGAAACAAAAAGATACAATGCGAGACATTGTTTTTCTAATTCTTAGTGTTTGTGCTAATGATAATTGACACCTTTCTCGAAGGACTATGTACAAAAGCGAAAAATAAAATAATAAAACCGTTAAAGCGAAAACGTTAGCGGTCGTTTGCGAACAAAATTTTTAAAATAAACAACAAATCTTTATGTATTATGTATAAATATGTACAAATGAGGAAGTTACATTCAAAAATACACATAGAAAAAAAAACACTGGGCTAAAACTTGCTTTTTTATGATTATAGAATATACACTACGAATCAAATTTGTTTAATTTGTATCAAAAATCTATCACTAAATTCTGTATTTTATATGTTGGACCGACGAGGATTTCGATATTACAATCAAATACTCAAGAAATTTAATACTTAACTGTTAAAAAATGGCACAAAGAGACTAAATAGGGCGATAGGAAAAAGTACAAAATAGAAAAAACAAAAAAAAAAAGAAACTTCAATACCTTAAAATAAAAAATCTTATCAATTAAACCCAGACTAGAATTGAATTGTTCTTAATTCTCACTTATACAGTGCGAATATATTTTACAGGTTTTTTTTTCAAAACCCTTTCTTATTTTTATTTAAATTTTTTATTATCGATGTAATTCGTTGTTCGTTACCTCATTTCTTAATTCAATTGCTCAGTAGCGAAACCGTACACTTCTAATACTCGAATTTCGAAATCGCCCGTTGAGCACAACGGGGGATTATCAAATGTTTGACAACGATCCGTTTTACCAAACCTGATGTTTTCGTCCATCCAAATCGCTTGACCTTCACTATAAATAAATTTAAAGTGAAAAATAATTAATAACAAAGCAAATCGGGGGAAAAATTAACTCACCCTCCACCGATCGTAATCATTTTTGAATCAGCCGCCATAAACAATTCGGCACTATGTTCAACGTTATCAGTAACCATTCCAACCCAAGGATATTTCGCCCTTTCTGGATATAGAGAGAATAAAAAGGTTTCGCCAGTTCCAAAGTAAGCTTGTCGGTTTCCTCGGTCATCTTTTAAATTTCTTTCACCCCATCTTGATGAACAATAAGCTCCAAACACCTTTAATGAAAAAAATTACATGCAATATTAACCCTTTCTGATTTTTGAAATGATTTTGAAATTAAATGTCATTTCATAACGTTAAACGTCATTTTGACAACATATATCCCTAAAATGGTACCAACCTAAATTTTTGTAAATCTTTTGATGAATATCAAATATTTTGTACCATTTTTATAACTTTTTTGATATATAGCAATATATTTCGCTATTTTTAGTATTTCAATAAGATTTTTTGCATTAAATGAACTGATTTTTAATTTTTTTTATAATTAAGTTTTTAACGATGTTGACGTTTAATTGTCAAATTGACGTTTAAAAGTCAAATGACTGAGTCCTCAATTGTCAATAGAAACGAGTCGGGTATGAGATGATTTAGACAAAATTGATTTTTTTAATGATTTAGACATACATAAATATTATCTTAACGTTTAAACGTCATTTTGACGTTTAAAAACCACATTTCCCTAAAATCATACCAACCTAAATTTTTGGAAATCTGTTGATGAACATCGAATATTTCATACCAGTTTTTTTTATAACTTTTTTGATTTATAGTAATACTTTTCGCTAATTTTAGTATATTTATAAGATTTTTTACATAAAATTAACTGATTTTGTGAGTTTTTTTAATATCTACTTTCTTTAACCATGTTGACGTTTAATTGTCAAGTTGACGTTTAAAAGTCAAATAATATTTTTACTTTTTGTACAGATCATTTGCAATAATTGTGTTAATTATTTCATGATGATAAATGCTATAATTTTCCATGTACACCCAACTTTCTTATTGATATTTTATTTTGCTTTTTCTATTTACTTATAACATTTTTTGATTTTTTTAATAAATGACATACAAATGTCATCTTAACGTTTAAACGTCATTTTGACGTTTAAAAACCACAACACATTTCCCTAAAATCATACCAACCTAAATTTTTTGAAATCTGTTGATGAACATCGAATATTTCATACGTTTTTTATAACTTTTTTGATTTATAGTAATATTTTCCGCTAATTTTAGTATTTTCATAAGATTTTTAAGATAAAATTAACTGATTTTTGAGATCTAAATTTTTAACGATATTGACATTCAATTATCAAATTGTCGTTTAAAAGTGTTGTTTATTGTAATACTTTTATAACTTATAACATAACCAATATTTATAGAAAAATTTAAAAACTTACTTCATTGTTTGAGGTTTTAATCATAAGCAACGTCGGTTCGTGTTGTTCAACTCTTACGAAAAATGTTGTAAGAGAACATCCATGTTCTTCCGTTGTGTATAAAAGAATCGGTTGGTACATTGTTATTCGAACCGGAAGCCACGACCAGAGAGTGAGTAGCTGATGGAAAAAATTATTTAAATTAATGAATGTTTAACTAAATTGTTGGCGTTTCATGCAATTTTAGTCACATATTACTTTTTCCTTAAATAACACTCATATTTCCATAATAATCTCGATTTAAAACAATTTTTACAACAATTTCATTTGCAGAGTGTTGACTTAAAAGAAAAAGTTTTATAATATCAAAATTAAACAGAGTTTAAAACAATTTAAGTTAAATTTAAGTGTTTTAAACGGTGTTTGTTGGACACAACAGATTTTCTCGCCAAAAAACAGCTTCACATGCCTTTTGATAAAAAAGCTATTTGAAAAAAAATCGGGGAAATTAAAGCAAAAATTGCTGTAATAAATAAAGCTTGGTGTATTTTTTTACAATTTTCATTTTAAATTGAAACCTAAATGATCCCCACAAAATGTTTATGTAATATGATTATGATTCAATTAGGTGTCAATTTAATATAAAGAACCAAAAATCAATAAAATACACAAAACGACAACAAAAAGGTTTAATAGTAATCCTCTTCTGTATTTCTAATAAATGAATACAATAGAATAATTAATCATGCTCATAATCCCAATAATTATATTATCTAAAAAAATAGTCATGCTGCATAACTTATCTATACAGATATAAAGAAATTAAAAAAAATCTAGCAGCATGCAATACAAAACAAATAAGCAAGTGGTTTCGTTAGATAATGTAAATGAGTAAATTAATGAAAATGTAATTATTATTATTAAAAATTAACATGCTAACCATTTTTCTAGTGCGTCGATGTAATTCAATAGGATCTTTATAAACGGAAGGATCTGGGAGAGGGAACCAATTATTAAGGTGCAGGTAAATATTCTGTAAAAAAGAACAGTAAGCCTACAAAGTGATCAATTCATTCAATTTCATTCAAACACGAATTTAAATAAACATTTCATCGGGCCAAAAATAGAACTCGAACTCAACGGGCGGCGATGCTTTCGTCACCAATGACGTCAGATGGAATTCAATTCTTGACCGTTCTTAAAATTTCTAAATATAAAAATAAAGAGGTAAGCGCGAAAATAAAAAGAATCCCAATAAAATTTGTTTTTAAAACATTAAAATGTCATCATCCTTCGTTTGAAGATTTCTTTAATGACACACTTACATCTTCTTGCTCGAGAATTTTCGAATTTACGTTCTGTGTGGGATAGATACCGACAGAAACGACTCTTGGACTAGGCGAATGAGCACCCTTTTTGTAGACCATTGTAGCAGCACAAACAAAGAGATTAATTTACACTAAATTTTGATCGAAAATAACTTTTAAAACATTCCAATTTTATATATTTCCACTCGAAACGATTCCAAACAACTCAATAAACGAGAATAAGGATCGAGAAAAGGACGTAGTTTTACATTTCAATAGGGAATAAAAACGCGTTAATTTCAAAAATTGATTACGTTAGTTATTGCGTCTTTTTAAAATGCTATATGGGTGTCCCGTGGATATTTAACAACAATTTTTTTTTTGCAATCATCGTTATAATTTGATATTTGGTACTATTAATAAGACACTATTAATTATATTTTCCATCCAACTTTCTTATTAATATTTTATTTTACTTGTTCTATTTATAACCCTGACATACAAATGTCATCGTAACGTTGAAACGTCATTTAGACGTTTAAAAATCAAAATACATTTCCCTAAAATAGTACCAACCTAAATTTTTGGAAATCTTTTGATGAATATCGAATATTTTTTACCAGTTTTTTTATAACTTTTATAATATATCAATATATTTCGATACTTTTAATATTTCAATAAGATTTTTTCCATCAAATTAACTGAATTTTGAGTTTTTTAACATTTAGGGTCTAAACGGTGTTGACGTTTAATTGTCAAGTTGACGTTTAAAAGTCAAATAATATTTTTATTTAAATTATAACTTTTGTGATATTATTTAATACAACATTTAATGATGTTTCATAAAAATTGATATGTTTCTTATCGAATCAGATATAATATAGTTCCAAATAGCAAATTGACAAATTTTATATAAATTTTACCTTTTGGGACACCTTCCATTTGTTATTCGATTTTAGTGAATGTTTTAAATGAGCGAATCTGATAGTTAATGAATTAGTTGTTAAATATTTTATGGATGCAACATTCTCGTAAATGGATGCAAAAAAAAAAAAAGAAAAAAGTTGATTTATATTCGATGATTATAAAAAAAATGGAAACCATGTGAGAAATGGTGGGACACAGATCAGACAAGGTTCAAAGTTAATGCGCTCTTATAATACGTATATATTACATTAAAAACGTGGTATACAATACCATGTCATTGTACATCTCTTCGGATAAGCTCTGAAATTGAAAAACGGATAATCCTGAACTAATCTGAATACTATACAAGTTCTTTTACGATTTAAAAGTCAATTTAATCATTAATCTATAAACCTTCATTGATAACTTTAATACTAAAAAATAAAATAAGTAAAATTAAAGCTTCTTAAATAAAATAAGTTGTGTTTTCTCGTCACTACTTTTTAATTGAAGGACGAGACAAACACAGCTACCTGAAGCTTTATTAATCTTACAGAACATAAAAGACATAAAAATGGGAATGTTAAAAGGATCAAAAAAGAAACCCTTTTACCCAAAAGGTGCAAAAAGACAGGAAAAACTAAATAAAGTAATAAAACGGTGAATACCATCACCCAAAAATTAGTATTAAAGCAAAGTTTACTTCAAAAAAACAAAAATCTTATATATATTAAGAATCGACTTTGTAACTAACTAAAAAGATTCTTAAATTAATTTTTTTTATACAACTTACCTCTCTGATGGTCAAAGTATGCGAAACCATTTGAATATTGTTTTGACTCTGCGAATTGGGCAAATTATCTGTTGATCTCGATCGAATTATTTGTCCCGTTCCAGTAACCGCCGATTTACTCTTCAAAATCATCTCGGTCCTAATAAAAACCCTCGAAATATACGACGAACTCAATCCGCGAATTCCAAACGCAACTTTCAACAGTTTCGATGGAGGGTGCGGAAGTTCCCTGCAGTATTTGGTCAACGCGTACTCAACGCCATGCTTTTGAATGCAGCCGTTCCAATCGGACGATGTCGACGATGAGCTTTTGTGGAAGAGGATTAAAATTGCCATCGCCGTTCTATAAAATACCTTTTAAAAAGCATTAAAGATTATTAGAAAAATATTTTTTTTTAGGGAATCTTACTTTAATTCCTTCGTGAAAGAAACAATCCATTACTTTTACCAAATGGGGAAACGGCAATTCTTGTAAAACCCACCATATCCAATTTTTGTATAATCGTTCGACTTTTGATTGAGGAGATGTTCTTTGTAGATGTCCAGCTGCCGCTTTCTGTTATTGTTAAAGAAAAAATAATATTTTATTAAACATATATATAATAATAGATACTTATTTTACACTATTTATAAATGATTTTGATATAAAAATGTCATCGTAATGTTAAACGTCATTTTGACGTTTAAATTTATAACAAATTTCCCTAAAACGGTACCAACTTAAATTTTTGGAAATCTTTTGATGAATGTTGAATATTTCTTGTCGATTTTTTTAATAACTATTTTGATTTATATATATTTCGCTACTTTTAGTATGTCATTAACATTCTTTACATTAAATTAACTAATTTTTGAGTTTTTTGAGATATAGGTTTTCAACGATGTTGACGTTTAATTGTCAAATTGACGTTTAAAAGTCAAATAACTGAATTTTATTTACTTTTATGTATTAAATCTATATAACTTAACCCATTTGCATAATAAGTTCAGATATTTGAGGAACAACTAGAACTAATATTAGACTAGAACTAGAATTAGTTCCAAATAGTATGAGTGTTAGTTCTAGTTTTAATTGTTATTCAACGCTAGATGGTTGTATATTTTTCATTCAACTGATTCTAATTCTTTGTCTAGCGCTGAACAGCAATTAAAACTAGATTATTTTTCATTGAATTAACATTAGCCGTCTTAAGAGACGCACGGGTAAACCCGTTCGTTTCTAATTCTAGGTCTAGTGTTAGTTCTAGTGCCTGCGTTAGCTTAGAAGAATAAATTGTTGTATATTTTTAATAAAATAAAACTAGAGCTAACACTAGATTTAGAACTAGAAAGCCACCATATCCGATTTTTGTATAATCGTTCGATTTTTGACTGAGGATATGTTCTTTGTAGATGCCCAGCTTTCTTTTATAATTAAAGAAAAATTAATACTTAATTTATAAACAAAATGTTATAAATAAATATGGATTTTAATTATTTACACTCTTTATTTAGGCGCCAAGATTACTTAATAGATAAAAAATGTAGGTGTTATTTTTGGTGAAGCAAACACTCGAAGAAAACACATGGGTAATAATTTTAAAAGTCACATTGATAAGATCATTTCGATATAATTAATTGATTTTAATCTTCATTTTACAATTAATCTCACTCAATTTTATGTAAAATAAGTTAAAACAAAAAAATTTTAATAAATTATGACACGTTATTAATGTTATCCTTGAAATAGCAGAATAAAATTTTAATATAATGGTCTTGTAACCTCTTGTTCATCAATATGCACGCTTTTCTTTAAACATATTGAGTGCAATTAAGAACCGCGAACTTTAATTAAAGGGGGTACTAAAAATAGACACGGTATAAGACTGATATGGTATTATTAACATTAAGTGGTTTACTTTATTAATACAATTTTTGAGTTATTTAAGATATAAAGTTGTAAACTAGAGACTTAACTTACCACGTGTTTCTTACATATTTGCATGACAGTTTTCCACGTAACTTCATGAAGCAGCTTCGTTTGCGTGATGAACATTTTTTCCTTTGACGTAACCAAACTGGTCATGCAATTGTAACATTGCTCTTCTATAAATAAAAAAAATAAATAAAATTCTTTTTTTATCTATTCATGTAAACATAATCAGTTTACAAAAGTTATCAATATTAAACATTGTAATAACTCTGCAAAAATTTACAACCTTATAATCAACATTGTATAAATGGTATGCAAATATATAAATTTGATAAAAAAATGTTTGATGGTGGAAATAAAGTCGAAATTCTGAGAAATTCGCAGCAGTTATTTTTGAAAAGTGACACCTGCACAGCGCTAACAAGCACGAATTTTTTAAATTTTCATATTATTTGGCGATCGCCCAAAATTCGCGAAAATGGGCGTCATTATACATATCTCGACCTAGCGTAGAATTCCATTTGCAGCGAGAGTCTTAATATATTTTGTTTACACTTCTGCACGCGCTTTTTGTTGACCTTACTGTGATGTGACCATCTCATTATTATATATTTCTTGGTCTTTGTACTCGGATTTCTTTTATTGTCTCTTAACAACGCTATCTTTGTAACACTCGAACAATGTTCTTTGGATAACAGGTTATTAACACCGATAAGAAATAAATGATTTTTTTAAATATTTAGTTGTGTTTGTTTGCTTTTATGGTTGAAGATTAAATCTGCCCATACCTGAAAATAAATCACTCAAAGAAGGCAGGAATGCCAAGACCTGGTGATCACTGCCAAGATATTGAGCCAACTTGAGTCACGGGGCGGCGCGTACGCACCGGGAAATCTCTTTATATGTACACTTTGGGCAAGCCAAAATAACGTTTATAATCTGATCGAGTGCCCATCGTTCTTGGAACGTATTAAATCAATTTCCGTTCCTTCGTTTTACGTCAATTATTGACACGAAACAGTTCAATGAATCGTAATTTAGGATTTCTTGGAACGATCATGTCACCGATTGAATTAAAATAATAATTTTAATCATCAATCACAATAATATAGAGATGACGTAGCATCTATGTTATTTTTATCCGTTATTAATCTTTTTTAAAAGTAAACGGGTGGTTTAAATAAATTCTAAAGTATGACTCATAACAGTGTATAAACATAACAAATTTAAAAAAATGTTATTCGTCCCAACTTTTCTTATTATTAATTAAAAAAAAGATAAAACGCAAATAATCGTAATAAACACGATGACGTCGTAATCCTTTTTTTTAACCAATAGATGATACCCCGGTTTTAATTTGCCTTGCAAATGCGTTACGAAATGATTAACAATTCAAAAACGACGCGACTCGGTCTTGAATCGATATCGCATGAAAGAAAATCCAACAACAACAACAAAAAGAGGAGGGGAAGGAAATCGATATACAAGTTGTTTCAAAAGTAATGTGTCAAATGACTTTAAGTGTAAACGGGATTCAGATTTAGTATAGATTTTCTTTAAATGTACAAAAATTTGCGCAATTGCATTTTGGTGATTTTACACCTGACTGCAATATGTTTATCACATCATTTTGTTATAGTCAAAGAGATATCTCTGTCAAAGATAAGTAAAGTAAAAAAAAGAATCGTAAATGGAATTTACACGTGATGTGAGAATTCTCTTTTTGAAGAAAGTCATCTATAAACTCAACAATTTATCAATGTATATTTTAGTTGTATCTTCGTGTTCAAGTTTTTTTCAAAATTTGCGATTTCAGCACAACTTCTCTGCATCGCATCCCCAATTTGTGGTTATAGAAATCCATGATTGGTAATCTTTTTAGTTCAAAGTTTTCTGATTTTTCAATCGAGTTCTGCTCAAAGCGTTGGCGATAAAGTAGCGGTAAGAAATTATGTTCAGATAGCCTAAAAATTAAAATGAAATGAATCAAAAGATGTTGCGATGTGCCTTGAGATGATATGAACATTGGAATCAATTGTTGATGCATGAATGAAGCTACAATAAGAATAATATGAAAAATATAAGACACCATTAGAAAAAGTGTAGCAGCTGGATCTTCTAAGAGTATAAACAAAACTTACATAGGGCCAATAAGACATGCAGACATGACAAAACGAACAGAATTCAGAATCCCCTCACTCACTGATTGGTGCTCTTTTTGTAGACACATCTTTTCAACTAAACAATCTCATACATAGTGAGTCATGGTTAGAAGACTCTATAATAGTCAGGCATTCCAAACTCGAGCAAACATGGGACCTCTATAGGAAAGCCCTAACGGAATATAACTTGGCTATCCGCAAAGCCAAAAGAAAAACCTAGCGCAGCTTCATTTTTCCTCAAAGGGATGGAAAAGGTAATCGATCAATACCTTAGGAATGGAGTGCTTGTAACTAATCCACTCCACCCTAGCCAACATGTTCACCAGAAAGCAAAATCAACAATTACTGCCCTTCATGCTTTGACTAGCACTTCAGAGGAGGCAATTGCAACCAAAGAGCTTTCATAGACATAGTGGGTGCGACCTACATTTACCCTAAACCTTTGGAGGACTAAAGTTACAATAGATCTGATAGGTCGTAGTAAGGAGAGGGCCGCTCCCATCAGCAATAATAATAATAATAGGGCCAATACAATTATTGGACAACACAGATTTTTTAAAAACAACAACTTTGCGCAGGTTTATTTATTACAATCGGTTGTCGATGATAAAAATTTCAAAAACGAAGAATCAAATAATTGACACAACTACTTTTGCAACATCCTAACGAACGCCTTTGAGTTGTTAATTAGTTGTGAAATACGAAACTATCACGAGACCACCCGTTATGGTTATTTTATTATTTTGCAATAAGGGAAAGTGCTTGTTACTTCCTTTAACAGCATAAAATATGAAAATATATCTACAAAATTTGTTTGACACAAAACTTTATGTCAAAAATTTTTTTTAATAATAATTTTTGTTAAGATTCAAGTTACAAGTTTATTTTACAAAGAGTGCAAGAGCACCAACTGTAAAAATACTTTTAACTGCCACGAACAAGGTCGTGAGATGAGCGGGCCAAAAGGTGTGTGTGTGCTGTTATTGCTCCGGCATCATAAAGTCGACGAACATGTGATATTTACATTACCGGGATCGAAGCAGTAGCAACATCATCGTGTTTTAGTGTGCGTAACCTCTTCGAAATAGAACAATACACGTTTTCCCGTTGTGACGCAACGCGGTTCTATGATCTTGCACTCTCTACAATAAAATTACACTTAAAGTTTTATAAAAAAAAAAAAAAAAAAAGTTAAATACTAAACAAGTCCTTGAAGAAGTGTAAAAAAATATTTGCATATCCTCAAGGACATTTCTTCTATTAATAGAGTTATCATAATATAAACGGTTTGTTAAACCGTCTAAGAAAATATTAGCTTTTGCAAAATGTACAATAAAAAAATATTATCCAGGTTAAATAAAAAAAATATATGAAGGTTTGAAGAGATATCAAAAGGTTATTTTTAAATTTTCAATATTAATCGATACATCATCAATTAGTGACGGGTATTCAAGAGGATCATCTCATTAATAAATAATATATCATCTTAATCGATACCTTCAACTGTAAAAAACAACATAATAAATTAAAAAATCCGTTTCTTTTTTTTCAAAAAACATGGCAACCTCGAAGAGGGTTTTTTTCTGTGGTAAATTTATTTGAACTGGGTTATTTATAGGAAAGGAACGTCAACGTCACGAAACTCAGACATGTAAACGATTAGGTACTGAGTAGAGTTTCAGAGCAAATTGGATCATTTTGGATTTCAACAGGAAATGAATGAAATAAACACAAACATTAATTATTTGACGTAAAAATGAAAAAAAAAGAAGAAAGAGTAATCGTAAACAAACTTTCTATTTAAAAATATAAATATACTTATTAAATTTATTGTGTAATGTGTTAAGGAGAGAATTTAATCGAATTTATGTCGTTACAAGTGGTGCAAGATTAGCACCGGTTTAAAAATAAACCTTGGGGTAATCTTTGCCAGGAAACGCAAAAACAAAACATAAATTGCTCGGACTAGCGTTATACGCACAGCTGATCGAATCAAAAACCCCGCATTTCTTGGGCGTCGCTAAGACGACCCAATTTTTTAAAAAGAACAAAAAATAAAACGAATTATTTATAAAACTGTTTTTCTTCGGAATTTATACAACAATTTTCTCATATCGTTCTTCTCTCATTAAATTAGATTATCCGCTTTGTCGGGCATATTAAATGAGAGAGACAATAGCCCCAAGAAGCGACTGTTTAACATTTTTTAACGTTCTCTCAGCGCTAAAATGGGCAAAAAAGAAACCAGTTTTTTGGGTGGGACTCGTTTTTTATAAATAATACACTTGAAGACCTTGAATATATCTTGTAAGTAAGAAAAAAACTTTTAAAACACAGTTTAATAAAAAAATTGCTAAAAAATAAGTTGATATTAAATTTAAGTAGTTTTTTTAAAGGCGGTTTCGTAAAAATGGTGGATGAGCCGGAAGTAATCTTCGTATTTTTACTACATAATATGCAATTTTCTATAAAATGTAAAAGATTTCCCAAAGTGCAGCAAGTTGAATACTGGAAATCTTGAATTTTACAATATATTGTTGCTCCCACTTTTTAGTTAGTCTTTGTGACTACCATATTATAGTAGCTACTATATGCGATTTTGACGACCCTATCTTCAATCCCTAAAAGATAGTAGCGATTAGAGATAATTAACACTTGAATCGATGTCATCTTAACGTTTAAACGTCATTTTGACGTTTACAAATCACAATACATTGCCCTGAAATGGTACCAACCTAAATTTTTAGAAATCTTTTGATGAATGTCGAATATTTATCAGTTTTTTTTATAACTTTTATGATATATCGATATATTTCGCTCTTTTAATATTTCCATAACACTTTTTTCATCAAATTAACTGATTTTTGAGTTTTTTTCTACTTTCTTTAACGATGTTGACGTTTAATTGTCAAGTTGACGTTTAAAAATCAAATTTTTTACTTTTTCTACAGATCATTTTGCAAATAATGTTAATTATTTCATTCTGATAAATGCTATAGTTTTCCAATTTTCATCCAACTTTCTTATTTCTTATTTT